ACCAAATTTTCTATTTTAATAAAAATTTGTGGGAAGACAATATTCTAAATTTAAACTTATAATACCATTACATGTTTCTAGACAAAAAATCGGCATGCGTTACCAGGGTTTTGAAAAGATATAAAATTGTGAAAAATTTTGCATTATTCATAGAAAAATGTACAAAAATTACAAAACATAAATTACAGATTTTTTTTTCATCAAAAATCGTTTTAGAAGAGGTGTACAAATCCGTATATAGACATTAAAAGTATTGCACACAGGTCTTTCCTTTACTGGAACTCTTCAACTCCAGGGAAAAATCCGAAAAAGTTCAAAACTACGTTGCGTATGACCTTAATTACTTATCTTCATCTAAGGCTTTGATTTCTTGAATTAATTTAAAAATTATATATACAATACAGATTTGCAATATGAATTAAAATGAATGCGGTATTTATTTAATTTAATATCAATAGAAGATGAGTCTAAATTAGATGCAGAACTATAGCTTTATGGTTTTAAATTTTAGTCTGTGATCATACCGTTATGACCAAAGACTAAAATATACTCCTGAAACCTTATTACGCTACAGTTCGATTCAGCAGCCAAGTCTCACTGCACAAATGTACCCTTTATAAATGTAATGAAATATATACCCTTGAATTACTGTGCAGTATAGAGACGATTCATAATACTAGTATTTCTTATCTAATTATATAATCAAATATAATATTCTCCCTCAGCAATGATCTGATCAAAAAAAATAGTCGACTTACTTTGTCCGCAAGTCAACGATAAGACCATATAATATTCCATATATACGTATTTACTATTTTGTTCAATGAGAAAAAATAAAATTATATATGTATTTTTCAAAATGTAATCCAAATTTTATTTTTATTTCGTTTTAATACATAAAACATTTTTTCTTGCATTATCATTTTAGCAAATGACCCATTTGTTATAAATATATTCAACAAGTTCTTGGTAGTAAAAACATAAAAAAGGGGAGTAATGAAATGTTGAACCTGCTTTTGATTGGTTAGATTGGATCTTGAATTTCGAAACTCGAATTTCGAATCTTGAATTTCGAATCTCGTATTTCGAAACTTGAATCTCGTATGAGCCTTCTGGGCTTTCGCATCTGAGCTACTTGTTTGTCAATAACTTGTCTCATACGAAGAGAGTGTCCTCGGTATCGAATCAACTTAAGAGACATAAACTCCATATGCAAGTGACAGCGGTATTTTACTACAGGAATAAGGGCAAGTAACAATAGAAAAAGTGAAATGATGTTTATATACCGCCCATTTCATTGTCCATTAATTAAATACATGTATTTTGACTGTTATAGTTGAAAAGGGTGTTTGCTGCATATTTCCAATATTGCCTTTTAATGTTCTAGGTCTCAAGTATTTTATTGCATTTTTCCTAAATACACCTCCTATGGTTACAGGTAAAATTCTTTCAGCTCCATAAAAATCATTGTACATGTAATGAAAATGGAACAAACCCAGAACTTTTAATTCTAGAAATGTTGCTTCATAAAGAAAAAGACGTACAACACACTGGGGGAGATAATCTGACGTGTAGAACAATTAACTTCACGTTTCCGTAGTAACGTCATTAAAAATTTCCCGTAAATCGGCGAAACGTTTCATATAACGTCGATTCAAAGCATAATTTCGATCTTGATACATAGTAACTGCGGACAATATGACGGACGACGGACAACAAAACGGCAAATATTTGAAACTTTCAAAGAAAAAAAATAAGCGATCTATATTTTTTCAAAGTTACAACAGACAGCGTAAGGATGAAGATTATTCTACTTTTTCAAATTCTAATGAAAATGTCAGTTTTGAAGATATACAACTAAATGATAAACATGAAAATGATGATATAGATAACAACACATCTTGGAAAAATAGTAGGCGAGTGGTTGAACTTGACATTTTAGCAGAAAAGTCATTCTGCCATTTGTGCAAATATCCCCTTCACCTATCAAATATTGTCTCTGAGAAGATATGCGGTTTAGGCAGTGTCCTGCATATCCGTTGTGACCAGTGTCTGTCGGTATGTCCAGTAGAGACAGGAAAGAGAGATGAGTCAGGAGCTTTTTGCGTCAACAAAAAAGCAGTCATCGGTATGTATACAAATGAAAACCACAAAATACAGCACTACAGCTTTGTCTTGATATAAAAGACATATACTCACACAAAAACTCTTTTTTTTACATTAATTATTAATCATTTAACATTTCTTATACAAAAGAAATCGACAAAACACCAAACAGAACGTAAAAGTTATTTCCGTGTTTGTTTCTATATTTTTATTTGCCACACTACTACGGGAATGCCTAATTGAAGACCTACAGGTAATTGAAGACCTAGAGAAGACCTACGGAAGACCTACAAAAATGTGGGATATATACAGCAAAACTGATATGATATTCTGATTAAGCATGTCCTAAATACATAAAATACAAAAAAAAGTTTTATAAAAAGAAGTTTTAAAGTGTATTTTTTAAGCTCGGTAAGGGGAACTATTTCTTCTCTCAGACGACCTACGGCAAGAACGATAACTCGCGTAAATAACAAATCAGCTGTTCACCAAAACATATCAAGAAAATGTAATTTTCAGAAAAATGTAATTAAATAAATAATATTTAAGGACGAAAAAAAATCAACAGGAGATATTTTAGATAAAAACTTCAAAGATGGAAAAATAAAATGAAATATTCAGTCAGATACAATTCTATTTTGTTAAAAAAAAAAATTAATTACTTATATAAATAAGTAAAATTTTAAAACTTTACAAAGCAGAGACATAATTATACACTGTACATAATTTATAATACCATCATATGATCAATCATAAAATCATTTTATGTGTTATACTGAGTATCCAGTATTATATATGTGTTAATATATAGACAGTGTAATATTTATTTCAGGGTTGGACTGAAGATCATTAATAAAAATTCATTGTGATAGAATGATTTGTGTTCTTGTTATTAATAATATCTAGTGATGTTATTAATAACACCTGGAAGGTTTAATTTGATTGGGATTTATGTTAGAGAATGAAAATTTTAAAATTACCGTTAAAAGAATTTAAAGAAATTTTTCAGAAAGAACACAGACACAATCACTTTCAAAATTTTCCATTTCCCCCCAAGTCAAAGCATTATTTTATTCAAAATATGCATGCATTTCTTATGTGTGATAACATGCATGTTAATTATTTTATTCAATTTTAAAAAGTGAATATTTTCTTTCAACTTTATTAGTTAATGATATACCCGGTATCTTCAAGATTGATATACTGTATATTTTGGCTCAAATTTAGAGAAAAAAAAAACCTAATGTTTCATATTATAGTACATATTTCTTGGCATGCATACAGCATGTTATCTGGAAATATACATTTAAGTTATTAAATTTTCCTTATGAATGTCATATGAATGTGTTATTTTGAAAAAAGAAAAGTGACCATTTAAAAAAAAAATATATATTCAAAACGTAAATCATTTTAGTTATATTCTGAATAAATGCACAATGATTTTATTTGTTTATTCTTGCTAGCATTTTTATGATATGTAATTAATATAATTAAAAAAAAAAAAATCTTTGCTCTGTTGACTGCAAATTAACATTAAGTCATTCATCAGAGGAAGTGGGGTGTGTTGATAATTGCAATCAAAACACGGATATACCGGTATCCCCAAGGGTGCCTGTGTATACAAAACACATTAGTGAAGATCGAAGCCCTTAGTTTAGAGTAGTAATATTTGTTATTGAGACAAATCCACAGCATACATTTCAATAATTTGAACTTGATTATTTAATATTTATCCAATAAAACATATCAAAAAATTACAATATTTATTAGATATTAACTATATTTCAAGTAGAAAATTAATTTGATAAATGAATTAATCATGATAATTATTTATATTTTTAACTTCATCAAAATTCATAATCCAGATTATTTCTTTATCATAATTCATTATTGAAAAACTCAACAAAATCATTTGGATTTTTTTTTAATTTTTCTCATATTCATATTCTTTCTATAAACTTCACAATATAAATGAGCGTGTTGTTGTTTACAAGACAAGTCAGCCAGAGTTATCGTTCTTGCCGTAGGTCGTCTGAGAGAAGAAATAGTTCCCCTTACCGAGCTTAAATCAAAGTACTCAGAAGTACTGAAAGCCGGGCTCATTTACAGGGTAATGAACAAAGACCACGATGACAGTTTAAAATCAAGCTGATTCAGCCATTGAAAAGATGATTATATATATCTATGCCATATATAGCATTAAAAAGCTTTAAAATTTATTAAAATGTAGCTAGAATTTAACAGCGTAAAATATTTGTCACATGTATCATTTCTGGGTTTTACATACCAACAAAAGTAAATAAACACTGATGCAGCAAGATTATTTAAGGTCACACAATTATGCACAGATGGGTCCTCAGCGGGGAGTTTTGCATCAAAGCGTACATCATTAATGATGTTTCCCGCATTTGTATTAGCCTGATAGTACACCCTTTATTTATAGAATATGACGCAGACAGGGATACCTGTTGAATACCTTTCGCATATTTTAACCAAATAATTAATCAGCGAAAACGATAGAATTTTATTATAATTATTTTTTGACAATTTCAGATAACTATGAAAGTTTAATTCAGTGTTTGTATTGCCTCAAAGGTGATTGCGCAGACGTACTATATTCTAACTCGTAAATTTAATTTGGCGGTGAAGAAGCAGCATTTTCTGTTGCTCACCGTCGCAATAGCCGGGCATTTCTCTACGAGAAATGAGCCCGGCTAAAAATACACTTTAAAACTTCTTTTTATAAAACTTTTTTTTTGTATTTTATGTATTTAGGACATGCTTAATCAGAACATCATATCAGTTTTGCTGTATATATACCACATGTTTGTAGGTCTTCCGTAGGTCTTCTCTAGGTCTTCAATTACCTGTAGGTCTTCAATTAGGCAGGCCGCACTACTACGGACCTCTGAGAAACCATGCGGAAGTGTGCGGGTTGAATCGTCCCACTTGTTTGTTTCAACCCCCTAGATATTAAACCCCATTCGGCAAATATTGAAGATGTGTTCATATGTTTGAGAAAATTTGGCAAAATTTATATTCTACTGATAAAATGTAATTCCTATGTATACTTGTAGGAAGTTATTGAGCACACAAAACAAAAAAGAGTATTTTTACACAAAAAATAATAATAAATGTCTGAAAATATAAACATTCTTGATTTTTTAAATTTTGAAATTGTGTTCACAGGGATGATTCACTGTGGTTTTGGACCATCTCATCTCAGAAATTTTTTGATGGAATGCAATCTCCCCCCTATGAGTGAAACAACCATTCAAAAGATACAGAAGAAAATTGGCCAAACAATAATTGATTGTGCTGTTCAATCCTGTAAAGAGGCAAGACAGGAGGAAATTGATTTATCCCCAGAGAAGGTGAAATATATTATATATTGCAGACACAAAATATTTCTTTCTTAGTAAAAGTATTATTTGGATAATATAAAAAAAATTAAATTTGTGAGTGTGTGTGTGTGTGTGTGTGTTTTTTTTTTGGGGGGGGGGGGGGGGGGTTGTTTGTGTGTTCATGATATATGCAATATATTTCTAAAATAACATATATACATTACTGAATGTAGGTGCAAGTCAGCTTTGACGCCGGTTGGCAAAAGAGAGGATCTGGCTTTAACTATAATAGCAATACAGGTAAAATGTCATTCTCTGAGCACATGAAGTTTCAATTTTTATTTATCTATTCCCAGTAATTTATTTATTACTTACTCATTTATCTATTTGTTTAATTTCATTTTAATTATATATATATATTTTTTTGTCATTCTTAAATATTTCCATTTTACATAAATAGGCCATGCAAGCTTGATAGGGAAAAAAACTGGCAAAGTTCTTGCAGTGAACATCAGGAGCAAAGTCTGCAAAATTTGTGACACTTTTACAGTTCAGCACCCAAATGAAACAGTTCCTTACCATGACTGCTCCAGAAATTGGTAATATACAATAAATGTATACAATAAATGTATAATACATGTAATATCATTATTTGAATAAGATTATAAAATTCCATAAAATTGAGAATAAAATATATGTTATACATATCTATTTCAAATTCTTTTAGGTCTGGTAGCAGTACGGCCATGGAGGTTGATATGGCGCTGAATTTGCTTGGAGAGATGGAAAAAGAGGGATGTCATGTGGATATTTTTCATGCCGATAATGACTCCTCAACATCTGGAATGCTGAAGTCAGAATTTCCCAACACAGTGAAAATGGATGACCAAAATCATGTAAAAAAAGGCTTTACAAAACAACTTTATGAACTTGGAAAAAGGTAAATTGAATTTTATAAGTCAGATTAATAACCTAGCTAAAAGAAGCCAAATAAATCAGACTTGGTCCAAAATTTTACTACTGTATTATTTAAACTTAAAGTTTCTTTTGTCATAATTCATTATTTATTTAACTGATACAGATACAAAGAATTAAAACAAGCTGAGGTTATCCCTTATATTCAGCGTTGTTTTGTATACGCCATCCAAAGTAATGCTGGAAATTCAACCAAAATTCATGAAGATCTTGATCGAATTGTGCCCCATATATTTGGAGATCATAATAAGTGTAGAACTGCACAGTGGTGTACCTATAATGAAAACCCCTCATCTTTCAGGTACATATATTTAACCGTACATTTGAAAGGAATATTAAAACTGTATCAACCTTAAATAATTTATAAATTGAAAATCTGATATCAATCATTCAAACTTTTTAAAAACTAAAACCCTTGATGAAGTTGCTTATGCTGATAAATTCTCTCTTTAAAGGTACAAAAGTCTTCCAGGTGGCAGACCTCTCCAAAGTGAAGATCTGAAGAAGGAATTAGAGGACCTTGTCTCAAAATATAAAAACAGGGCAGAAAACCTTTCACAACTAGGGTCAACACAAGCTAATGAAAGCTTTAATAATCTTGTAGCAACTAAAGCCCCCAAGTCAAGGTATTCATTTTTTATTTGGTTGAAAAAATTCATCCTCAACCAAAGAAATATTAAAATAATAAAAATGAAAAAAAGTCATAATAAAAAGTTATGCTATAAACACCTCATATTGAAAAACGATAAATTATATTATTTATTATTTTATAATTTATAAGCTTTTAGAACTAGACCTGCAAGTTAAGCCATTCTCCTTATAAATTCTTCATAATTTAAAATTTAACAGAAACTATGGAGGATCCAAATCATTAGAACAAAGATTATCAGCAGCTCTGTTACAAAAGAATGAAGGATACAGTTATTTAACAAAGGTATGCAAAATTGAAAATACATATGTACCACAGTATACATAATCCTAATTTAATTGATTGTTTGTCGTTTAACGTCCCTCTCAAGAATTTTTAAACCATATGGATATGCCACCACTTGCCGGTGGCATGCTGCAAATCTTTTCCTATACTCAGCTTTCAAGGCCATTGAGCAGGAAGGGATTTTTTTTATGCCAGTACCCACTGTGAAACTGGACTTGGGCTTATTCAAAGGACCGGTCTTCACTTCTCCCAGTGAGATCTTAATTTGAAAGAATAATAAGTAGAATTTCTTAACATTTTCTAGTATATGTGATTTTTTTTAAAGAGGCCCATTGGGCATTATTGCTCACCTGAGCACCTTTGGGTATGATGCTTTTCTTTACCAGATTACCCTTTTGCAATACCTACTATGGCCCCGCCCTTCCCCAGGGGTATTATGTGGATAATGTAGATTTCGCACTTCCCCAGGCTGCTTCAACATAAGTTTCATCTTCTCTAGCCCAGTGGTTCTTGAGAAGAAGATTCTTTAATGACCCCACCCTATTTTTGTCTTTTCTTGATTATCTCCCTTTTGAAAGTGGACTTGGTCCTTCATAAAAAAAAAATTCTCTGTACCCTTATTGTTTGCTTATTTTTCAACATGCATTTGTATATTTATTGTTACTGTAGGTAAATGAAGCTGCTGCATTGTCTCCTGGCCGCCATACATTGAAAGTCTGCGACAGGATTGACAAACTAAGGAGGGAAAGGAGGGACAAGGTGTCTACCATCAAAGCGAAAAGGCGCCGCCTTCAATTAAAGAGGGTTCGAAACAAAAAAGAAAAGGTGTCAACTATTAAAGAGGGAACAACCTATTCTACCAATATTGCCCTCTCTCAACAAGTTGTTGAGGAACAAATCCCCTCTCCTCTTACATATAACAAAGAAGAGAATTATGTTGTCATAGATTTAGAGACAACAGGTCTTGGTCACAACAGTGACATTACACAGATTGCTGCTGTGGGATCGGATGGGTCTAAGTTTAGTTGCTATGTTACACCTCGTTGTAATATAAGTAAAGAGGCATCCAGAGTTACAGGACTTACTTTCTCAAAGTTAAGAAATAAATTGTTTTTACATGGTTTAGAGGTTCCATCAAAATTACCAAATGTTGCCTTGCTTGACTTTATAGAGTATCTTACTTCTATGAATAATCCAATATTAGTTGGTCATAATATTACCAATTTTGATATACCTGTACTTACAAATAGATTGATTGAATTCCACTTGTTTTCCACATTTTGCAAAACTGTGTACGGATTTATTGATACTTTAAAGGTATCCCGTAGAGTTTTTCCAAAATCTGAGGTTCAAAACCACAAACAGGAAACACTTGTTGAGAAAATTCTTCAATTTAAATATGATGCGCATAATGCTGTTGAGGATGTTCATTTCCTCCAGCTTTTGTTTGACGGGAAGCTAAAGGTACTTTGCCATGATGCTGATTTATATTCCATGGCATATCATTATTGTAAACTCTCATTTCAGCCTGTGCTTGAGAGAAAAGTCATAAGTAGTGCAATATGTGTTAAAATTTGCAGACAGGGTATTTCTTTACAGCACCTTAAGTTAGCAAACAGAAGAGACCCAAATGGTATAAGAATTATTCTAAAGGAAAACAAAATTTCTTTGAAGGCAATAAAGGCACTTCATGTGTACATAAATGAAAGTGAAGAGTGATGTGTAATGAAAAAAGTGTGGTGATACAGAATTTATACTAGCACTATGTATGTACTTTCTGATTTGTGATTAGACTTGAAGCATTATATGTGTATATATATAATTATATTATACAGATATATGTGTACATGATGTAAGGCCCTTGTGTTGAATACAAACAATACTGAAATATCTAGATTTTGTATTACATGTACATGTAACATGAAATTGGTTTTCTAAATCATGTAAGTAAGAAATTAATGTTTTCAAAGTCTTAATGTAGATTTGTATGCATATGTTCATCTATTGTTTTAAGATCAAAAGCTCCTAATTTGCATTTGTTAAAATGGTTTGAACCATTTTTTTTATTGAGTACATACATGTATGTTAATACATGTATGTTATCAGCCTATCAGGGGTTCATAAATACTGTAGTCCAAGGTCCAGGACCTAAAGTTTTTTGGGTGGACTAGCTAATAGATGACTTTCACATTTACAAAAGTTTTTCCCCTTTGTGGGCCTGGGGTCAATCTTGGGTCAACCAGTGTAAGACACTGTTTTCCTTCTATATAACCTTATCAACTTTACGGGTCAGTATCTCAGAAATAAAATCTGTATGAATATCTTAATGTTCTTCATAGTAGCCCCATATATTGGCAATATCTTAATGTTTTTCATTGTTGCCCCATATACTGGCAATACGGGTACATATTGAAATTGTCCAGTAACGTTTGAAGATTAAAATTATAAACAGGTAATTTACAAAGGACAAAGTGGGGAAAATGAGGGTTACGCCAACAACAGGAGATAACTCTTAGGAATGTGAAATTCGTCTATTGTTACCCTTGGATAGTCCGTCGGACTAGTGGTTTTGAGAAGCAGAAATATTTTAACTAAAAGTATTTTAATTTTTTAACTCCCTGGAATGCAATGTGTTGCCTCATATATTATTGATTTAAATTATGAGCATTTTTTAACTTGTAATTTAATGATGTGGACTGGTGAATTTTACTAGCTCAATAGTCCTTGAACAAGTGAATGCTTGGGGAAATTTTAAACCCCTGTGTTATGCAGCAATATAATATACATGTACATGTAGGTACGTGTTATATGTTTTGAATTTATCCAGAATTTTCAAGATGTTAAATTTAGATGAAAGGAATAATACATCACAGAAAATCACAATGTGAATGGGATATAATGAAACACCGAATCATAAGAATACAATGCATAATGTTTTGTCTCGACATTTTCTGTCTGTACAACTATATACAACATGTTCAAGTTTCATCGATATAAACAGTGGTCACTTTCTGAAATTTATATTTAACTAAGCTACTTTTTATTCAGAACCATTTTTAACCTTTTCACATAATATATACATTGTATTTATATTTGTATAATTTGTAGAAGTCTCTGTCCCAAACTGGTGCTTACTGATAGAGTAGTAATATCAGCAAGTTATAGACCTATTGTGTGTCATTTTCTGTGTTTATGTAATAAACTGTCACAAGGAGTAAACCAGATAAAGAGAAAAAATTTCACTTCATAATGTTGTTTTTCATCTTTACTTACATTATGCTTCGAAAATTTTGACGATGGAGTCTGAGAAACGTGTTTATCGTCATGATCATTTAGGTCATGTCATTCATGGAGTTCCCTCATGGACTTGCTTGTTTACATTCCACGCAATTCATGATACACCAAACCCGATGGGAAATGAAAATTAATATACGTAAAAAATCTTGAATAAAGAATATTTACTTTTCATTGCTGGTTGACAAATTTTACAAACATAATCTAGTATCTTAATGTTACATTTGAAAATTACACTGTGGAAACATTTATTTACGAGAGGGACAATGATATTATCCAACACGTGGATTTTTTTTTTTACTTTTTAGAGCTCAGGACGGTGTAGGGTGGTTTCGCGCCGATTACGTGTTCGTGCCGAGTGATATCGCGCCCAGTGGTTTCGCCCCATTTATCTACAGGTAAGATATGGATAGTATACAATATGGCTTCCCCCCGATTACCTGTAATTATATAACTTAGTACCTAGTAATTAATTAACCCCAAGCGTTAATGTCGTGTGTCGGATAATTATCACATATTGTATTAATACTTAAAGTGAGGCCATTTTTAACCAAATTATGACTATATTTGAACAAATTTGATCATCGAATTTGGAATAATTAAGACTGGATGTTAAAATAAATATTTATTTCACAAATCTCATTCACTTTTCAATGAAGGTTGTAATTGTTTTTCATTTGATTTACAATATTAAATTATGTAGAACAAGGAGTAAACAAGGATTCTTCTGCATGACGATTTAAAAGACTTCCCATTTCATTGCAATTGCCTTTGTTTATAATATCTTAATATAGATATTAATCAAATGACTATGCGATAAGCGGTATCTTCAGTTATACAGTAGAAACCAATCGGGGCGAATCCACTCGGCGCGAACAAGTGATGGGCGCGAAACCACTCGGCGCGAACACGTAATCGGAGCGAAACCACCCGCATTCCTCAGGACTCGGTAGGAATGCGACGGTTTTTTTTCCAATATGTTTTATATAAAAACGTACCAATTCACATACCACTTCAAAAATTGGTTGTTTTCAGTCAAAACATTTTGAATTATTTGTATTGTGAGATTTGAATTGATGTGAAACAAGATTTATTTGTGCCATGTACCTTTTATCAGCTGTTGAAGGTCTAAGCCTCAGGCCGTCAGAAGGACGTTGCGCAAGAAGCGCGGTAAAATCGGTTGACCGTCCATGATAAATTTCGTTATAAAAAAAAATTGGGTCGACAGAAAATTTTTAAAAAAAATTCAGATGATAATATGATTGCTACACTTTAATATTAGGGTAAAATTTTTAAAATTAAACGACACGTTTTTTTTATAAAAAATTCTAAACTTGAAAAATAGGCGATTTTAACGTCCATTTTTAGGGACACATTTTTCATTCAACCCCCCAAAAAATTATTCAATCTTAATCGAAATGTGTGAAGACTCTCAGATTATGAAATTTAATGTTCCAAGAATGATTTCACAAAAGAAGACATTTGTATCACTTTATTTTTCGCAAATACACATTGTTTTATATCTCTCTTCTTGCAATATTTTGCCTCTTCTTTTCTTGCCAAGGGGGGTAAATTTTGGAGCTTGCTGACCAAATACTACTCGAACGATTTCCTCCAAAATTCATAAACAATTAGCATATATAGTCTTTAATAACATATTAAAAAATTAAGAAAATTAAACGACAGGAAAATTTTTGAGGCAGGTGTGTTGTACATCCTTAATTATAAAAATGATGTTTAACAAAACATAAACAGTTAAGCAAGAAGTTTAAATTGAAATGCTTCAGTAATGCTTCTAAAACATGTATGATTATTCTTTTCAATTCAAAATACAACATGGGTAGATAATGTCCTTCTTAAATAACTGAAATATACAAAACATCACTGTTCCCTGCCTGCAGGACTGGTTAACAATAAAAAGTGATATATTTGTGTTCAACATGAGATTTTGTGCCTTCCATCAATTACAGTTTGCTTTTTTCCTCTGCATAAGCTGGGTTGTGAACTTCGATCTCTCTCTCCTTCATCACTGAGGTTTGTGGAATATCATGAGTAGGTTCTTTGTAAACATTGTAAAGACCTCCTTCTTTACGCTTTTGCAGCCTTTCTCTATAAGGAAAGGCAGAATTTAAAGTTCACAATATTTCATTGATAAACACGACTTCTTATTACTTTGCATAAATGTATGTGTTTAGGGAAGTTGACCTTTTCTTATTAACTTTTACTTGGATTAAAAGAAAATTATTTTATATTAAAAAGGAGACAAGGTTACGTCTTTAAAATCTATGAGTAAACCCAAATTAATAAACTGAAATCAAATAAAACAGCACAATCTTATTCTTTAAGGACTATTAAAAGAAACTCAGATGTTTGCCTAATAGTTCTTTGCAACGATCGATCGTGTTACAATGTCAATTAGAAAAACTCACTTTTGTTTACATATGTAGAAGAGTGTCACAAGTAAGAGGAATCCGATGACACCACAGGTCGCTGCCAGAATGGTGACCAACTCACTACTGTATCCGTCACCAGACTTTGATTTAGACACCTGAATAGCCGCAAACTCCTGTCTGCATTTCTCAGCTTTGTTTGTAAAACAGAGAAAAACCAATTTTAAAAATGTTCTCAAAGAAACTCAAGACTGTTCTAATTCTGCTTAATGTTTGCTGATTTTTGCATATAAATTTAGATGTAGCTTAAATCCATATCTTTTGAATACATACTGTCACTGTTTGTCCACGATGAAGTGCTAACAGACGGATCACAGAGTTTACAGTGATCGGTTTCCTTCTTCTCCAACAAGGCATGACATTTGCCATTAATAAGGCATGTATTTTCCTGCAATAGGTCCAAGGTACATGCATTGAAGTTGTTTGTAAGGAGATACGGATAAAGATAATGAAAATTGAGAGTTCCAAATAATAATTGAATGATACAACGCTTACTCTCAGTTTACAACTGGACTTCATGATATTGTCTGCGATGGAACAATCAAAGCATCTGGAATCATACACTAAATGTAGGTATTGGTTCTCACTCATGGTTTGACCATCGTTGCTGACCTGAATGAGAGCACCTCCACGAGGTTCTGGGAGATTGCACGAGATCTGATTCATATTTATAAAGTCACCAGAAACGGTTCTCATTGCTGTAGTTGTTACGACATCATTTTCTATCTGTTTACAAATAAAATCAAAATTAAGTTTGTCCACTTGAATTAAAATCTTAAAATCAAATACAGGTATTTGCAACACTCTTCTTTTTGTTTTTTCATTATATCATCTGTCAAAATAAAATTACCTTCAGGTATGCACAAAAAAATCCGCATCCAATAAGCGAGTAGTTCTTTATTAATTATTGAAAATATATAATAATAAATGATTGATTACAAAAAGTGTAACAGAGAATCAGAACCTTGACGTATTTGTAATGACACGTCAGAGTCGACGAGTCCACGAAATTAGCTCCATATATAATGGCTGTACTACAATCTTCTACATCCTGTGTATTACAACCACACGTATCACAACTGGTGCCGTTAAACAGAGTCTCCATAACGAAAGGTTTGGTGGATTTGTAGATATCACACTGGATACCCGAATATCCCTCATCACACACACAAACTCCTGAAAAGTCAGAAAGACTAAATGTGTCAGTCGAATTGAATGTTTATCAACAATTAATTGGTGATGTGATTTTCAAATATGACACATATATGAACTGTACTAATGACCTATCTACGTCTTCAAATTTGAAACAGAGATGTTTAGACTCTGTGGTTTCTTTTATTTCAGGTTCCCTGGGATTATTTGATGGTACATCATGTGAGGAAATTGACATGTTCTTTTAATTGAAAACTATTTTTAAATATCAACTAAACATCTCTTATCTATATTACCCTCTGAGCAGTGACCATTCTTTCCACAGTCTAGCTGACAGAGATTATTTGTTATATGTGTTGTGTTTAATGCTGGTTCAGTTGTTTCGTTCTCCGCCGGCTGCTGTTTGTTCACCTCGGCTAAACAGTTGGTTACAATGTCACTTATATGGTCTTTAGCCCACTCAGGGTCTCCTGTAAGCTGTTAAAACAATTCATTTCAGCAATAATGTGGATAAAGTAAAAGGCAATTAACAAGTCAATTGTGTTTACGAATGTACAACAGGATAGCGCTTAATATACCTTTAAATCTTCAGCACAACTTTCTACTTGGCTAGTGTAGTTTGACGAGTTCAAAACAGACATGCAACTTTTTGAAGCTGTACTGTTTGAAATATATTCTTCACAATAATTCCTTGCGCTGTCCCAGCTGTATGTGTCGTCCTGAGAAATGGTAAGATATTTATCATAAATCTTTAAAAGAGGCTTTTCCACATTTTTACGTTTGTTTTTATTATGTAGGTACCTCCTCAAAATCTGGCATGACTTGTTCATTTCCTGCTTGTCGCCGTCCACGATGTGAAGAGGGGCGAGCTACCAAGGCCTGATTCACAATTGTAGATGTGATGTCATATCCTAAAATAGAATGACTACTGTAATATCACATTTTTCGAATGGTCAAATTTTCGTGGTCTAAGGGAAAAATATGAGTTCGTGGGAATATAAATTTCGTGGATGAAGAATTGTTAGTAGTTATATATGTGAAAATTACATTTCATGGTTGACTTAAATTCGTGGGTTTCTTCATACCTCGAAAACTACGAAAATTAAACCCCACGAAAATTTGTGTTTTCTTAGTATTCAGCTTCATAACAGCTTGTTATCGTCGTATTTCATTTTGCAATAAAGAATTAGCTTGAGTAAAGCAAGTATAGTTTGAATTTGAAAGTAATATTGAACTCACTGTTTCTCTCGCAAATAAAGATACCATATCCTGGGGAGCAGTAGGGGGTTCTATTATCTACACAGCTACACCATGTTGTTATTCCAGGTAAAGTGCCCGGTCTAACACCGGTGAATATTCCCTCTGCAGGTCTGTAAGTAGATACTAACATTGAATTTCGTGTCTAGTACTTAGTAATAAAAAGACACTCCAAGAATGAAGTAGCACATGAAAGAAAGTATAATTCATATATTTTATATATAAAATTTAGTTCCTAAAATGATGTTCTATTATTAAATATAAAAAGAATTAAATTTAACAAAATGAAGCATTTTTGACAAATAAAATGAAGAAATAAGAATTTCAACAACTTCGTTAAAAGTACAGTAAGTTCTCTGACCTTGTCTGCAAATATAATCTATCATTAAGTCAAATACTAACTATCGTTTTTCATACTTATTGTTACGGCATTATTTACATATGGAATTGTCTACGGATTTTCCCGATCAAGACAAGGATCAAACTGTGGGTGCTCAGTCCTCCATGGCATCTGATCCCATCTCTGATGTTTTGGAGGTCCCCGTTTGCTATATTCGTACTTGTATTATTTATACAAAATTTGACTAACTACACTACTAAAAGTGAATGGGATTGGGCAGCAGGCAAAGCCTATTTTAGCCCTCTCCTTTTTGGTATTTGTATTGTTTTAATTGACCTTTGATCTTGAGTACTGATCGTTATCTTCATTTATTCCATTCATAATATGGATACAGTTATTATTTTGTTTTTACGTCACCTGTGACTGTTACAGAATGTGTTAGGATATCTATCTCTTCCAGGTACGTCGTTACCAGAGTTACCATCGAAATTGCCACACAGACCTTAAAAAGACACAGAAGAATCTTTATTTTTTTTAAAGCTACATATTTATGTTGAGTCGGCAATTGCTTGTATGTTATGTTTATTTTTTTTTTCAAAAAGCAAATGCATTGTACTCATATGTTGCCTTGAGTATTCTGAATTTTCTTTTTTCTCTTGTTATGCCGACATATAAAATATCGTACCTGTGACTTTGTTGCGATCTACACTTGATGGCTTAATCCAGATGTTGATAAAGTTTCTGGCACTTGTCTGTATGGTAATGATGGTACCGGTCGGGAGCAGAACCTACAGGATGATAGATGTTATATAATAATTAATAATATAATATATAAATTTACGTATTTTTAATCTCATCATACATGTACGTGTAGTTATTCTTCAAAATTGTTCTCATGCATCCAGCAATCCTAACATCAAGGAGACGCAAGAGAACTGCACAAACATTTCATTTTTGTCAACATACAAAGTCTTAATGCTGTAAATCCACGAACCTCATACTTTTGACCACATCCATATCTTCTGATGTAAGTCCCTGGGGTCAGCTGGCCGTTCTTGTACAGTTTTACACTTACTGGGGCCGAGTGACTTGAACCATGATGATGGTGATCGTGATGGCGATGGAAGAGAAGATCAAAGATGCTATGACCGCCATGTGTGCTACCTCCGTTACAACCAGTGAAAGTAATGACGTCATCACCCGATTTGATGGCGACTGCACAATTACATGTAGCTCGTGATGAAGAACTGCACTTCGCGTAACTAGCATGCACCTGAAATAATGAATCAAAAATTGTCAAAGAGTATATTTTTCAAATTCAATTCTTACAGGCGTTACAGAAGAAAGCGACATGAAACAAACCTCAAATGGAAGTGACTTGTGCTGATACAAAACGAATTCGCCAGTGAGGAAATTATTATATTTCCTGAAACAAGACATAAAGCATGCAGATTATATTTATGTCATTTACACAGTACATCACTCCGATTTTTAAAACCAGTATTTTTTTTCCCAAACTCTAGTCTTTTCTTACCTGCCATCAAATGTAGTTATGTGAGGGTCATTTACAGAACTACAAACGGATTTGTGGTCATTATCCTTAGCTGTGACCTAAAGTTTTAAACATGATTGTTAATTTTACAAAATTATTTAAAAGAAAATAAAAGCCTTATACGAATGTGATTTTTGTCATTTTTGTAATTGATGAAAATGTATTTATTAGAAAACAAACATATTTTATTGATTATTCTTTGCCATTTAAAACTTACGGATACTTTTCCAATGTTAAGTGTATGTGGTGTGGTTGTCACGGACCCTGACTGTACATTTAATATATTCGCTTGAACATTATAGTTCACAGTCTTGTCCCGATCATAAACACCATCCACTGTAGCGTATACTGGTAAGCTGATTGGATTCTCCCAGTTATGGCAGTTGACTACGACGCCGCAAGTTTCAGGCTTGCTCGATTGCTTTTCCCCGGCCCAGCCAATCAGAGCTTGAGGGACGACTGATCTACCACCAGGACAGGACCTGATGATGTAACGGAATTCTAATTTTGCGGTAACTTTGAACTCACAGCGCCCTCTACAGCCCTTGCAGCAGAAGAACTGCGGTGGTGCTGTTACTTGGACGAGGATGTGGGGAATCGGGAATAGTGTTCCTTCCGTTATTTGTAAATGGTTGCCTGAAGTAATCTATTAAAAATTGTAGAAATTCTTATATGTAAACTGAGGTAATATAAGCTGAAATAATTAGATATTTATTATGATACTTGTTATATGTAGTCTAATCGACAATGATAAATTATCAGTACCTGAATATTAGGCTCGAAGACATTACTAATATAGACTGGAGTCAGAGCTACTTGATCCTTGAATTTGGCCTGTATGGAACACGTTACCTAAAAATAAAGTCAAAATGGTGTTGGTGCTTGGTTCTTAAATGCGCATAAGCAATTTATAATGGATGAAAGTAGTAAAAAAAAAATTAAAAAAAAAACATACTCTCTGCTTGTACAAGTTTTCATTAATTTCAGCCGCAGAAAATTTGTACTCAGTAGTTCTTCCAGGAACAATGTGCCTCAGTACACATTTTCTATTTCCAATATTTAAGCAAACAATGAACTCGACGTTATTCTCAACCGCAGCCTGGAATGAGCACGTCAAGTAAGCTGTGCATCTTCCATCAACGGACGGCTTCAGATTAGGCTGATTGGTGTAGGAAGGGACAGTTGGTCTTGGTTTTGTTGTTGTTGTCGTGGGTTCAGGTGTTGTTGTAGGAGTTTTTGTTGTCGTCGGTTTGGCAGTCGTTGTCGGTTTAGCAGTCGTTGTCGGTTGAGGTGTCGTTGTCGGTCGAGGTGTCGTTGTTGGTTTTCTTGTTGTAGTCGGTTGAGCTGTGGTTGTCGGCTGAACTGTTGTTGTCGGTGCAGCCGTAGTTGCCGGTTTAACAGTGGTTGTAGCACGAGCTGTGGTGCGTTTTGTTGTTGATTGCATTGGAGTTGTTAAGTCTGGGATAAAATAAACGTATACAGCAACATTTACAAACAAACAAAATCATTTTCCTTGCATCTTAAAATATCATTGGTTGAATATTCCAGGATTAGGAACATTTTCACTATTTATCATTTGGCTGATCCATTTATGATGCATAAGGTTAAAACTGTTGTTAAGAAGAGAAAAAAATTATTGCGATAATACCTTTACAGACATATTGACCAGAGGGACAGTAAGCAGTTGTTTGATGAACTGATGATGTGGTCTGCACGGGAGATGGAGTGGTCACTTAGAGTATAAAATAAAAGGAAATAGTAAAATAGAAAGAAAAACTATTCTACGTTAATGGATAACAATTCAACGTTAGCTTAAAAACTCAAATTTGCTGTATTTACTTTCAACAGGAGGAGGTATGATTCCACCAGCCACACAATCCCCAATCCAGGCGTGGTATATAATTAAGGACTTAATGCAAAGGTTGACGTTAGTGGTGGTCGATGATGGAGTGTTACCTATGTAGAGGTGCTCGTTACTGGAGCTCACACTGGGGTGAGGGATAGACATCATCGACGCAGCAACAACGTAGTTGTCAATAACCACTTTAATACCGTTCTTTGGAGACCAAGAAAATATTATTTTTAAGTATACGTTTAAGGGCAACTTATCACGACCAACACTTGCAAACCAAGAATGCGTGTTACTAGACACAGCAAAATGTAGACGTCCAAATCGATAGATCATTTCCATTCCTGTCCCAAGTATATTGCCACTTGATAATACAATTGTTCCTTCCTCCAGTTGTTGGAATTTAACTATAATCTGGATTGTTAGTCCTTGCAAACAAAGCCCAATGTTTCCAAAACATAAATCTCTGTGTTCCCCGAGGTCCAAGTATTGACTTGAGTTAGATATTTGCAGAGAACAAGCTGAATTTTTGGACGTGTCAATGGAAGGTGTTCCAACCACATGCATATTGACATTATTAGAAGTCAGTGTTGTTACATTTGTCGATACAGCAGTTAAATCGAAGTGGTACTGTGGTATTGTTGCTGTGGTTGGCTTTACAGTGCTTGTTTCTGGAAGAAAAATTACAATACTTCAGGAAATGTTAACAAAAATTCAAATACTTATAAGAGTAGTTAGCAAATATTGGTTTTCTTCTTACCAACATAGTACACTATTTCTGTCATTCCAGAGATCATTATATTTGGGTTGTAATTTGCATCAATATTATGTGGAGAACCAATTACAAGATTTTGTGAATGCAAAGTCACTGAAACATTTGTTGATGGAGTCTTGGACTCTACGTGCATTCCATCAATATGTAAAACAAGTCCATTTATTTCGCTCCAAACAATTTTATATTCATGCCATTTGTGTTCGTTAAAAGCAAACGGGAATTGCAATGTCCATATCTTCGTTGTAAGAACACTCAGATAAAATGTATGATTAAAATGGTACAATTCTATTCCAGGACGAAGCGGTCCTGCGCTTGAAAATATATATGTTTTCGCTGTATAAGATGGCGCTGTCAAAAACTTGAGTTCAAATGAAAACGAAAATCCCGCCATACAATGCAGAATATTGTTTAAGCAGCCCTGTGAGTTCTCATGATGAGAGAATTCAATGAATTGTCCTGTTTCATTCAGTATTAGGACTGTTTTATTCGCGCTTTCTACAAGTAAAGGAAGTCCATGGACTGTGAAATTATGCGCTGGCGTATACAGGTGCTTCGCATCTATACTAATGAAGTTGTAATTCAGCTCCAGTTTTTGGTAAGCAAGCGCAGTGGAATCTGTTGAAAGAATTAAAATTGTTAATGATTTCTTTGATTATATTTATTTATTTATTTATTTCCCCCTTTTTCGTTGCTTTTTTATTATCAATTTATATATTTGGTAATTCTTCTGGATTTAAAATTTTCCCCCATTTAATCGTCATAACAGAAAATTAAGAAAATATACCAATTTAATGAATTTTTAGTTACTATATGTACAACTTAAGAATTTCTCATAAGTGAAACATATACCATTTTCGGCCTTAACGATTTCTTTCATTCCAGTTATCAACATATGAGCTGAGTAGGAAAAGTTTATCACTGGAGACGATCCAATCACCAGCGATTGGGACTGTAGATTTACATTCGTCTGAGTGGAAGAAATAGCTTTTCCAATCTGACAATTGTCCACATACAAAGCGAGTCCGAAGCCTGGACTCCATTCAATACGATATGAATGCCAGGTATTGATTTTGATATCAAAATTCACTGCTAAATTCCACTGCTGGTTGTTAGATACAAGCGTAAGGTAAAAGGTTCCATGGAAATAATACATTTCGAAACCAGAATGCCTAGTTTGTAAACTAGACAGTACGTACAATTTCTTTGTCGTTATTTCAATGATTTTTAATTTTATGTCAAACTTGAATCCTGTGGAACATTTTGAGATGTTCTGTATGCAAGCGTTCGTACTAGAGCTCTGAAACTCAATATATTGCCCTGTTTTGTTCAGAACCAGCGCTTGTTCATTGCCATTTTGCACAATCAAAGGATATCCATGAACTGTAAAATTCTGGGCTGGTGTTTGAAGTACATTTCCATTTATATTAAGAAAACTGTAGATTAGAGTTATCTTTTGGTTTGTATCTGTTATCAAACAATAAAAACAAAACACGTTTAGCAAAGATTAGCATTACCAATAATTATTTAACAGATTAAATAACAGGTTAATGTTTGTTAAAATGTAATGTTTAAAACTATAAAATAGAGTACTTTGTCTGATATTGATATATGTGACTCTAGAAGTATAAAAAGTAATTAAAAACAACCAAGAGCTAAAATACTATACACTAGCACTAAAAACAAATTTAAACACACACTCTTCCAAGTAATAATTATATTATTCTATGTTAGCGAATAAATAAAACCTTACTTTTATCACTTGTTGTTGATTGCACTGATGTTGTTGATTGCACTGGTCTTGTTGATGGAGTTGTTGATGTTGTCACTTGACTTGTATCAGAAATTGTGTTGGAGGATGTGCTTGATGTCTGAGGAACAGTGCTGTACTCTGTTTCAATTTAAGGATTGTCTTAATTTATCATTGAAATTAATATATCAAAAGCAGATAGGTGTGTTAATATACTTGTAACTGAAAATTTTCTATTTCTTTTGGTCTTCATATCCAGTTAAGAGAGACGTTAAAAAATGAATATACAATTTTTATATACCTGTTATACATCATTTTAACAATGTAGAAATTTTTTTTTAAATCGTTCGTGTCCGATGTAAAGGGAGTACAATCGTGATGCAGACCACGTGTACAGATTTAATTCCTGACATCCATTTGTGTGGTACAATTTAATAAAGGTACAATTTAATAAAGTTTGTACAATTTGTTTGGTGCATTTGCTATATACAGTGGATATACCTGAGGCTGTACAAACGGGGTTTGGTAATTTTTAAAATGGATTGAATGAGATCATAACTGATAATTTTATATTTCTTTTCCATCTCAAGAGGAGTAAACTATAAAGCCTTTATATCTTTTTTGTCCAAGAAACTTGGTAAACGTGCCATTCTCCATTTCTTTAACATCCAGTTTATGCTATATACAATGGGTATACACTAGGCTGATCAGGGTTTGGTAATTTGATTGAATGAGACATGAATACTTTTCCATCCAAATAAACTATAAATCCGTCTTTTTTGTTCCACGACACTTGGTAAATGTGCCATTCTCCAGCTTTGACATCTAATTTTTGTTTGGCAGTCCATATAAAGTTGTCTTTTTTTGTAGAGCAATACAGGTCACCATGCCAGAGGTAAAGAGCAAGACCACTGGCCCCAACTTGGTCCCCTCCACTGGAGAATATGTATCGCTTGTCGGTGGAATTCATGTCCTTAAGTTTGATCTCTGCACTTAGTGTAAACCCATGATCACATTTCGTCATATCTTGGATACATTCTAGTCCGTAATTTGGCAGTTCAACATACTGGCCATCTTTGTGGAGTTCCAAAATTGCTTTTCCATTTTGTTCAGGCGTTAAATCGGGTTTGCCATAGACAGTAAAATTATATGAAGGTGTGATCAAGACGTTTCCTTCAATTTTATTGAAAGTAAAATCTAACGTCTGTTGATCGCAGGAAGGAGTTGTAGTTTGGCCTATAGTAATCAAGTGATGAATTTACATAACAAAGAAAAAATATGATGATAAACAAGTGCAATGGAATTTAATTATAAGTAAATACATTGAACTTTCCAGAGGAATCTTCTAGTTTATAAAATGTTTTACTTGTAGAGCCGGCCGTGGTGGCAGCAGCTTGTGTTGTCGTCTTTGGCAGAGGTGCTGTAAAATGAAAAACGTGAACGTGCTTAAGTTGAATATACAGGGTATATACATATAGACGTTTCAGGCACTCAGTATCACAGATGGCGAACAATTAAGTTTCACCCGTGCCTTCAACCCAGTCCCTGACTTGTCTTACCTGTTTTTGTTGTAGTAGATGCAGTGGATGTTGTTTGTTGGGCCGTGGTTGGTATAGGAGCTAAAATGTATTTAAGGGAAATTTATAAATATACTAGTAATTCCTAATGCATCTCAGTTAAAATAAGAAATATTATTAATACTTACTAGTTACCAATCCATTAATCACAAGGTTTTCCCTATGAGAATCAAAAGTTTGCACCCCACTGACGGTCATAGAGATGGACACCTGGTGGTTATAGCCGTGTCCTATTGTAAGTGGCATGACCTGTTGAGCCACTGTTGGTTGGGGCTGGCTGACAGAACCAGCTAGGTTATTATCAATGACAAGTAAAGACCCAGATGTCTTGCTCCAGGAGAGCTCGATTTTGTGCCAGACATTCAAGGTCAGGGTATTTGGAACCGATACGATCCACTGTTTGGATGTTGTTGTAACGACAAAATGTAGTTTATTATTTTGGTAGAAGAGAGCTATCCCTTTGTGATTCTGCAGATCTCCACCACTGGAAACAATGTACGTGTTGTCAGTGAGTTGATGAAGATTTACGTTAATCGCAAGAGTAAAACCAGACGAACACGTGTCAATGTCCTTAAGACAGGCGTTGAATCCCGTGTTGTTGACTGTGATATAACTGTTCCCTGTTAGGTTTATTGCCTTTCCATTGACACTGTTAACAAGGGTTGCAGTTCCATGAATGTTAAACATAGTTTGCAAGCTTGTGTGAATAACATTCTGTATGATTTGCGTAAATCCCAAATTAAGGTGTACCATAGTTGAAGCTGTAAAAGAGTAAGAGGGTAAAGCTCATTAACGAGCTAGGGGCTACAATGTTTCTAATCTTTCAAAAGTTTGAATGCCAATTTGTAACTTAAGAATGCAAATTTACTTTGTTTATCACAGCTGTCCCCATAGAATCCAGAAGTACATTTGCAAACATTAACACCAATACATGTCCCTCCGTTCTTACAGAAATCTTTACTACAAAGAGCTGCAATATAAACAGAATGTAAACTATCAAAACCATCAGAAATGATTGTATCAATAAACAATTACAATTATATTCAATATTTTTTTATTTAATACAGTATTAAAAAGGGGTATGCTTATACTAATTATTATGCTACTGAGAAAATGTACTTTGCTATACTAATAAAATCACTACTAATACCTGCTGGATCGCATCCAATGACCTCCATTCTAAAACAAGCTGCTTTGAGGTATGTTTCTGGATAAATTCTAATAGCATCTGTGACGATGTATGGATTCAAACCGATATTGTAGTATAAAGTGGAATTGTAAATTGAAGGTATGTGCTAAAGAAATAAAAAGGTGTTATCACGTCATTTGTCTGCATCCCATGTCCAAACTTCTTATTATTAACTGATCAACAATGCTTAATCTTTTTACCTCATAAAAGCTACGCCATTCTCTGATCGGATCCATCGCAGAGATGAATTTCAGTTCAAAAGTCTCCATGTACATGCTAGGGTACGTGTGCAAATTTTTTTGACTGGGGTGACGAAAATTCAAACCAGACACGGCCATAGGTTTAGGAAGTCTGACTTCAAGCCAAGGCTGATGGTCGCTGGATGCTGGACACCATGCTCCGTTCTCTTCTCCTGTATGGTACATTGATTGCTGATAATATTTTGTATATAGGTAGAACATGAAAATAAATATTTATAAAAAGAGAAGTGTTTTACCTGAACAGCAGTTGTATCGGACCTTATCTTTTGTTTTCCCTGCCGCTGATGATGACACAGAAATCATACCATCTGTAATGGCCCCACTAGCCAAACCAAGGGCAGTATTACACACTGTAAAATAGGTTGCTTTAAATTCTGAGTATGTGTTTTAAGTGAATAATATACTTGAATTTGTTACTTGAAAGAAATGTAACGATTCAAGTGTGCTGTAAAACTTTTTGAAGATACTCACCAGGATTTGAAACTGAAAGAAAAAGGAAAAATTAGAATGAAGTTGAATGTATAATCAAATATTTAAAAGAATTCAACCTTTGATAATTGATTGCAGAAGGTATTTGTCTCGTGTTTATCATATTTTAAAAATCAAAAAATTGTCAAAGATTCAAGAAAACTTCACTGATGACATCAATTACATAACATATGTAAATTTGACTGTTTCATCAACTATCATGTCCATGTTATTACCTTTTTCTTGTCATTAAGAATAAAAAATTATTGTTGCCAATGATGCATTGCTTATTTTTATTTTAAAAGTTTTTATATAAAATGTTGATGCAACAAAAGGCCTATTAGATGCTAATGTTAAATAAAGATAACCAATTAAACAGAATAGATATTGGATAACCTGAATTTCCTATCTTTGTCTACATTTTTAGGGAATATATTGGTTAATTTGATATGCTAAAGTATATTAAATTTTATTTTATTATTTTTTCATATGGTAAAGTAGTCATGTATAGTTACGAAATGATACAAGAGCCAACATTTTGACCGTTTAATTTAAACAATTAAATGTCTTTCTGGGAGTTAATGTCGCAGCTGTTGCGGAAGGATATGGAGATAACGAACAACATTCAATATCAAAGTCCATTAAACAATACGAAATAGGAGCAAAGCAAACACGGACCCTCGAAACATCAGAGGTGGGATCAGGTGCAATGGAGAAAAATATATAACCCGTGTATTAAAGCAGGTTATGTATTTTTTTCCTGCATTCGTTGAGACCTTTTAAATTTCTCATAATAACAAACAACAAAAAAGACATTTCATTGTTAATATTTACATCTGTATGAAAAAACATCCAAAGAAAAAATATGCTAAATATTATATAATAGATGAAATATATTTGTCATCTGTTACAGTAAATAATTGTAATCATGAATGTCATGTATTTCCTGAATTTTAAGATATACACAAAATTACGTATTTGCTGACTGTATTTTGATGAAATTGAAAATATAAACATACACAGTACAGATGCATGCATGGTATATTCAATGTTAATAAAAGTTAACATGACTGCAATAGCTGCAATAACATTTGTTATAAATTTAAATTTATAAAGGCGGTTTATAAAATTGCACATTCGAAAAATCTTATTTATTCCATGTATTAACCAGAAGTCTCTGTAAGGATCACTGGTTTGAATATAGCAAAGGAAAAAAAAATTAAATTAATTGTTACTCGAATCTGTTCTTAGAATCTTTAGCTTTCAAAGGCTGTTTTTTTTTTTTTTGTTTAAATTTATTTAAGCCTTTAATTGTTTGATAATGACTTTTAAAATTTTTAGGAGTGGTAAGTTTGAAGCAATTTTAAAAAAATATTTTTCATATGCAACACATTCCATCAAAATAAAATTTGATTACAAAGTATGTTCTTAGTGTAACTACTTGTGTCAAATTAAACAATGACAAAAAACTGTAGGAGGAGTAGCATTTTAAAATCTTTTACAGATATATTTCTAGTTTTTTTTAGTAAAAAAAACATACAAGAATCTTCAATTGATGCATCAGATAAGTGGATATAAAATTAATTAATGTTTCTTTACTTGTATGATTTTCTGAAATCTTGACCATTATAGTTGTTTAGGCATGGAGTAGTTTTTGCCAGAATTGGCCTCCATTCAGACAGGTATTTGGACACAGGGCTAAAACAGATTAACTGAAAGTGAAAAGTGGGTCCACATATTTTGTATTTTATGATAAAAATAAGTGCATGTAAGTTCATGTACTAGGTTTAACTGCATTTCTCAATTACTAACACCAATTAAAACAATGTAACACTAGGTTGTTGAAGCAAAATCTGTAATATGATTTCTAAATGTTTACAAAATGCATTACACAGAATTATGTATCTTACCTTCATAATTGTGTGCCAAGTTATATTGAAATCAAACCAAAACTGTAGGTATTGGAGGATGTTGACTCTAAATTTGGTCACAACAAGACCTGGATTAATTGTAATGATTGTAGAAACTGTGCTGTCGTCTTTGAGAGCGTCAATAGGCTACCGATAAATAAATGTTAAAAGATCAAAAAAGAGAATCATTTCTTTGCCTGCCAATATAGATTTGAAAGATTCTAAATGTTTACCATTAAAGTTAGCTATACAAAAATTCTTCATAAGCCTTTATTGTCTAAAACTAAAAATTTAATGAGTTACAAATCAAAGCAGAACATTTTCATGCCGCTTTACCCGGCTGAGTTGGATTAGATGAAAAGTCTGTTTGACAGATTAATTCAAACTGCAACATAAACTGTAAGAGATATAGACTTTAAAATTTTAACTTTAAATATAAATCTTCTGGTTTCTGAAAAAAAAACCACAAGATTCTTTACACCTTGATGAGTCCACCTCTATCCAGTTATATGTTGATGTAATATTTCCACACCATCCCACCTTTTTGTTTTCTACCTGATGCATTGTGAGAGCTAGATAATTTTATGTCTATTGATATTGTGTGAAAGACATAAAATGATTAACTGAATTTGAAAAGTGAACAGGTTTTGATTAATATTTATTCGACATTATTTTGCTTATCATTACATTTTTTAAAACAATTTGTAGAAATACTTTATCATTCAATCATGAACTCACTTTGACAACAATCTATCCTTGCATTACTCAGTGGGATCCTTGCTGATGGATTGGACGTTTTTATCATAGAATCTGTTATGCCATCCCACAGAGAAGATCAATAGGAAAAAAATAAATAGCTATTAATTTATTTTAAAATAAAAAACGAATCATTTCTTGATGAAATATAAATTTGTTGTTATCTAAAAGTTCATATTAAAGGGCCATTCAAAAAGTATGTAGACAATGTTCCTAATCATCATATAATTACAAGATCAATGATCAATGCAATTTCATACATATGTAAATTCTTTTATTTTTTCGAGGAATGAAGTTTCATTCCATTTGATTAAATGGTACTTATGTCGGCCAATCTTAAACCCACATGTTTTTTTCACAACGGAGAACGGTTAACAAAATTGAAGTCAAAAGCAATAAAAGTTTCTAAAAATGACTCGGCCTTTTTATTTTATCTACGGTTGGTAGCATCTTCCCCATTCACAAAAGCTTATCTATGACATATGACACTTAGTTTGCTAACAATTATTCGATTAGCCTAAGTTAGATTGTTAATGTAATTATTCGATTAGCCTAGGTTACATTGTTAATGTTTAATATTTTTTTAACATTGATTTGCTTATTGATCATGTTTTGACGCTTTTGTTCATATTTTTCAAATCATAAACTGTCACTTGCACAACAATCTATCCATCATCTATTCAAAGCCTCTACCACTCAAAAGTTTTATTTCCATTTTATGCAAATGCACAACTTATCTTTATATAGATTTTCTGGATTATCAAACATTTTCAGAGTTTTTTGAAAACAAAATATCCTTGAAATGGTCAAATTTGCTTTTCTGGGACAAGAGATAAAAATGAGACAAAAAGACAATGCTCCTAATCAACATATAATTTACAAGATTAAAGATCAATTCAATTTCATATGTAAAATCGTTTATTTTTTCGAAGAGTAAAGTTCTATTTCATTTGATTTAACATCTTAAAATATAGAACAATACTATATCTAACATTTAAATTTTATTTTTTTTCAGCACCATTTATTAGAGGCATGGCTATAGATATTGTAAAGTGTTTAATTGGTAAACAATTCACTTTTGACCCTGCATTTATGCTGTTCTAAATCTTTGATTATTTTGATAAATATGAAGATATATTCCACTTTTTAAAATCAAATTACATGTACGTATATGAATTTTCTGTTAAAATTTCTTTCTAATATCACGTAAAATTTCGAAAAATTATGACAAAAGTCTACGAACTTTTTGAATGAACCTCGTACAATCTTTTGGTATTTTGTATAATATGGAATAATTTATTGGTACAATATCAAAAAAAAAAAAAACAAACAAACAAACAAACAAAATTAAAGACACATTTTCTTGTTTAAAATTAAATCTATTATAAGTTCTGTACTGATGGACGTTTTTCATATTTTTTTGATAGGCCATTTTTGTGCAAAAGTTTTCTGTTATTTCCCGATAATTTCAAGTAGCAGATGTGGGTATGACTGTTGCCAGGAGATGCTCACTCCTCCATACCACCTGATCCCACCTCTATTGTCTAAGGTCCGTGTTTGCTCTGCTCCTGATTTGTACAGTTTGGATAGACCTTTGAGATTAAGTTTTATATCTACATACATTTAATCATCTAATATATCAACCACGTCATAACATGTCACAAATACGTTTAACTAGAAATTTTTATTTAAAAAAAAATTAAAAATAAAACGAAAAACAGAAAAAAAATATCCGACGGTGTAAAATGGTATTTTGATAAGTTATTTGTTAAATCAAAGAATGTTGTTTGATAATTTTGTGTTTCACAAAGGATTTATCATAAAATTTTCACGAGAATATCTTTTTAAAACAATTTGTGTAGTCTTTTGTCTAGCGTTTCTAATATACTGCATTAAAACATTCTTATCATGACTTTAAACGAGACTGCTCAGTTTGCTGTTTCATCAACTTGTTTGTTAATAATTTACCTTGTTTTAGAAATTGTACATACGTGGACCATTTGTTATTCGAAAAACACGTAATTTAGGTCAAATGCTATTACATACTTGGCATGAAAAAAGAAACTTATGAACAGTTATATGTTAAGAGAGAAAGTGAAAATTTTACAATTATGAATTGTCGACCGTGAAAACGACTCTTCCTATTTTCTGAGTTACCATTAAATCATTTAATTTTAGTTGTAACACGTCATTTCATTGACTTTAAACAAGATTTTATTCATTTTGATCAACTTGTTTGTCAAAAATATTACTATGCTTGACGAACTTTTACACACATATGACTATATTTTAACTTTTCAACATTACGTACATTCAAATAAAGTTACTTGGCATGAAAAAAAAACTGAAATTAACAGCCATATGTTAAAAGTGGAAATTGAAACATTTACAATTATGTTATATTGCATAATAAAAGTTGAAATATTCTCTGAGTTATCATAAAGTGTTATAAAATCGCATATTTTTAAACCTCATAATTTTGAATTACATATTGAACGAAAGTTGTCATTTCAACATTATATAGCCATGATCAAAGGCATGGACGTGGAAAAATATAATTGTAAATTAATAACATGTTTGAAAAAAGTTTTTTTTTTATTTAGTTTATACAATAAAGACATACAATATACGCTGTGACCTCTGCCAGTTTTGACACTTCGATATTGTTAATGTAGATGATAAGGAAATGACTTTTTATTTGATAAATGATTAACACTTAAACTGCGTCCTAATCCGTTAAACTCTTTATGGAGGCTACATTCATCGGTGGTGATAAACAGAGGCATCGAGGGTGGGATCTGTTTTAAATACTTTTCCTAAACTTTCAATGATATATAATTTGTCAAAACTGAAGTTTAACAAACATAATTAATGCTAGGGTTACATGGTAACGAGTTCAGAGCCTCTAAGTTAAAGACTGGTCAAATGAGGCGACGGAGTTAATGTGTTTTTCTGATCTTTTTATAGATAAACTAAACAAATAAATAATTATTTATATATCATGTTTTTATGTAAATTACAAGTATTCTGAAGTTGATATTATAAAGATGCATGAATTTCTTATTGTTAAGAAATGTTAGTTTTGAAGACAATGTACATAAACAATCTATTGGAATTCCAAGAAGCAGCGGTCGCGCCCAGTTATAAGTATTAGTAGTCCTTAATGTATTCATATAAAAAAAGTTTTTCAGAATCTTAAATCTGAAAAGAATAAAACACTTGCTGTGTTCTTCAACTCGACATTTAGATATATTGACAAAATATTTTTAATTAGCAATGTTTATTTCCATTCTTATGCCATTAGGATAAATCCCATGGGGCTTGAAATAGAAGATACCACAGAGTCTGACACATCTCTTTCATATTAGGATATTTTACTAGAAATAGACGTACGGTTAATAATACTGCTGGAGTAATCTAATGATAAACGTGATGACTTTAATTTTTCAATCGTCACCTTCCCTATTTATGCAGCAATATACCTTCATCTTTTCTGAACTGGGTTTGTATTTACCAGTGAATTCTATACGCAAGAGCATTCTCTATAGGTACGTATCAACAATTTCTAAAACGAGATAAATTACTGATAATTTGATGAAACATAAATATCAGCAGTCTCGTTCAAAGTCATCATTTCGTAAGTTCTATGTCGATACAATGATCTTTTCAGCAAATGCAATATATCATAAGCCTAATGCTAACTGATGTCCTTCATACTAATTGTTACATGTACAGTGGCGTGCCAAAAGTGAAGATAATTTTATTTTTTCTCTATATATTTCATTGAAAAAAACATTTTGTAAAATCATAGGAAAATGGTCATTTTTTGTCCAATTTAATTATTTATTTCAGTACTTAAACCAGAAAATGTGTAGTTATCTTTCTTTAAAAGATTATTACACGTTTGATATGTAGTAAAATATAGTTCATCACTAAACATCAGTTCTAAAATTCAAGATCAATGTTGACTATATAATTCATTGTGAGTATATGACTTGAAAATTCATGTCAAACTTAAATTACAATATTTTTAAATTATCAATGCTTATCAGATAAAAACTATTGTTTTTTTTAACTACAACAATTTTTTGGATTATCAAGAAATTTTTGATAAAATCTGTCAAGAAATGTTGTCATACCAGCGATTTTACAAAATATTGTTTTCAATGAAATATATAAAGAAAAAATAAAATTATCTTCACTTTTGGCCCACAACTGTAGCGCTCATTATTTACAAACTGAATTGTCGACGGATTTAACCGTTATTTCCCGATCATGACAAAGACCTCAAGGCGGGTGTGACCGGTCGGTAAGAGATGCTCACTCCTCCATGGCACTTGATCCCATTGTATGGGATTTGTATTTTATGATGGACTTGAATTATTTTATTGCAACTTTTCGTTGTCTCGACATATTTCATTGTATATTGAGTTAAAGTAGATCAAGCTTCAATATGAAAAAAATAGCCATTACACAAATACATGTAAAGCTAATTTAACGGATAGTATTGTGACAGAGTATATTAAAGACAAAATTTAAAAAACTTATCCATTGTGACAAATACCAATTAAAATACATTAATTTTTTTATTGCAAACAATTCATTTTGTTCAAAAAATGGAAAATGATGTGTACTTTATGATATTTTGTACCGGGGTATATGGGTAAACAGTTCTGAAATTGCAAGATTTATCTTTAAATATATACTTTTTTAATAGTAAAAAGTAAATAAAATGTAGGGGTTTTGAAGAAAGGAGACGGAAAAATGTAGTAAGTTTGAGAATAAATCCCGAGAAGAGAGTCCCTAGT